TGGCAGGGAGGGATGTGAAGCACAAACCACACGTGGGCCTGTGTGTGAGGGTCTTGGAAGCAGCAAGGTAACGTTTCGGAAAGTGAAAACAAGATCCGGGCGATTCTGAAGGGTGCAGCATGAAAGCACTTTCAGCCTTGACACCCATGGAGCCCGTCACGGCTCCAGAGCTCATCACTCAGGCCAGGACGTTTGAGAGGAGGAGGGTGCTGTTCATCATCAGGCTGGGGCTACAGGGGGCCCGGGCCATCCTCAGCAAGAGGGGCATCTGGATCTAGGGACCCCTCCAGAAAGCTCGGGCTCCTGAGCAGACGGCCAGGCTTGGTCCCGGCCCTGTCACTCCCTGGCTGTGTAATACTCAGCGGTTATGTCACTCTCTCTGTGCCTCAGTTACTTCATCTGAATATGAGCATAATCAGTCATAGTTGATGGAGTTGTCAAGATAAATCAGTTCATATACGTAGACCCCTCAGAAAAGTGGCTGCCGTGAACCGAGGCCGTCGTCGTCAGTGTGAGCCCTGCCTGAGCTCTGAAACAGGCTCCTGGGCCCCGGCTCCAGGTCCTCCACAGGGCGGCGTATCGGTGCGAGCAGCAGACACTCATGCACAGATGGGACAGCAGCTTGCCTCCCAAGCCACGGCAGGTAATGGCACAGCCTTGGACTTGGGCCTGGAAGACGCTGGCGGCATATTGGTTAGAACCGATGCAGCAAGGGCCTGGGTTCAAGGCCTCGCTTTACAGCTCCGGACACAGGCTGGTTAACCCTGTGGCTTTGACAGGTCACTTACCTTTCTCCCATTTGTGACATGAGGATAGTGTCTGACCTCTCGTATCATGGGAATTGCTAAGGGATTCAGATGAGGTTATTTATGCAGGAGTGCTGCGTATACCGTTTAGGGCTAGAAGGTAGGCAAATGCCAGGTTTTATGAGCAGGTCCTTGTAAAATTAAGTGGCACAGAAGCCTTTCCTTCCTGTCCTTGTCAGAGCAAACTCTTAGTCCCACTCCCTGCAAGTCCCAGGGCTTTTTAAAGTCTGTACCATCAAACCCAGTGCCATCTCGATTCTTCCATTTCTCCCTATCTGTGGACTCTCTACTTCAATGTACACAATGGCCAGGTCCCCGTCCTAAAACCAGGCAGGATCAAAAACCCCATTTTCTCCTTCAGACCTCTCAAGCTGTGGCTGTATCTCTGTCTCCCCTGTGTGTGTGTGTGTGTGTGTGTGTGTGTGTGTACTTGGCACACAGAGTGATGTGAGTGTATGTAGCTCTTCTCATTCTTGCTGGCCACCTCTGTCCCGACCTTCCGTAAGTTCCAGTGGCACTTTGGAGACACGACTCTTTGTTGCCGAATTCATGTTACAGTGTGTGTAGCTGTCAGAATTCTCCTGGATGCAAGTGTCATTCAAACTGAGTAAGCATCAGGGTGCTGATGAGGAACTCGGGGCGCCACGCAACATCCAAGACGAGCAGGCGGTTGTGCCTCAGGAACACTCACGAGAGACTGGGACGTCTGGCCCAGCGTGTCATCTCTGTCTCTTGGTTCCCCTCTCTTTCCAGTCCACGTGGCAGTCTTTGCTGCTGTCTGTCCCAAGCCGTGTGAGGTACTGAGTCAGCCCCTGGAAGCTCCTCAGTTTCTCTTGGGCCAGAGTTTAAAACCCCCGGGGAGCAGTCGTTGGTTCGATTTGATGAGTCAGCTGTGGGGTGAGTGGGGCAGGGAAGCAGTCATGTACAAAATCACGTTTCTCTAAGTGTGCGGAGAGGAGTGGCAGTGCAGGCCCTAGAAACGGGGACAGTCGGGAAGTAAAATTGCATTTCCAGTACACTGGAAATTGTGGCTTACAAGCAGGCTTATATATGTGTGAAGACCTCCAGCTCCAGAAGAGCCAAGATTGGGCCTGTCCAGTGTGCACCTGCCCCCAGGGCCTTGCAAGCGCCCCACAGCACAAGACACTCATAAGTGGCTTGAGAGCAAGTGAGTGAATGAGTTGCGCATTATCCTTATGAGGAAATAAATCAGGCAACAAAGCAGCCCTGGGGAACGAACTCAGCTTCTTTCTTCCCTTCTTAGTCCTTTCCGAGGCTTGGGCTGGCAGCAGCCATGTGACTTGCTGAGACAGGGTCAGGAGGTGCCCACAGCTCTCTGGTCTGCTCGTGTTTCCTGCCAGGGCTTGGCCAGGAGCAGCTGGGGTGGGAGAGGTCTGAGGGCCCAGCTGAGTGAGGCTGGGGGAGCCGGGCCACTGGCCCCGTGCAGCAGACGGCGCCAGGGAGGCGATGGGAACCCTGTCCGCAGCAAGGCTGGAGACCAAAGGGTCCTGGCTGCCAGTAAGGAGTTTTACCTTTCAGTGAGTATGGAGTTGAAATGTTTCTCTTCCATTTACCAGGAGAGGCCATCCTATCTATAAAATCCTTTCCAACTCTAAGTGACTCAGACTGAACCTTAATTCTGTCCTTACTGGTGAGAAAGGAGGTTAAGGAGAACGGCGGAAGAGGGACGCACCCTGCCCGGTTCTGCTCCTGGAAGGACTTGTCTGTCCAGACATTCAGTAGCATTGTTTGTCGCAGCTCACACTTGAGCACTGCCGTAAAAGCCTTCATGAAATTCTTCTGCTTTTCAGCTAAGACAGTTTTATGGGCCACACTCGGCAGATGTCTTAACATACAGACTGTGGTATTAGCAAATCCTATGTAGTTATTTACAATGATATATAATAAATAATAATCTTTTAACCTGTATAATTTGCAGCCATTAACTTGTTCCTTCTAATGTAACAAAAACCCAAGAACATCCTCTCATTTTGTGGTGTTAGGACCAGAACAGAATTAGGAATTATTTTTGTCAGTAATCCTGTATGCAACCAACTCAATTCCAGAACATAAAATGAGAAGGAGTAGGTACCCTATGGGGACAGAGCCTGGCTGTCAAACCAGATGCTTTTAGGGACAATTGCCAAAGCTCCTTAACCTACAGGGCAGCAGCTGTGCTGATTCATAGAACTTGGTCTCTAAACAGCTTTCAGTAATTAAGCTTTTGCTTCCAACCCCCTCCTGCTGTGTTCAGTCTGAGATGCTTTCTGTTGCTGATTCTCGCACCTTCTGCAGCAGGTCAGCTGTTGTTGCGTTTTCACGGCTCACTGACCGAACTCTCGGACTTCTTTTTCTAAATGGCCCAACTGTTTCCTTCCTGGGACTGTGGCTTCTCAGATCTCACCTTTGCCCAAGGGTCTCCACGAATGACCGAGGAGTACACCAAGGCCCCCTGCAGGCCGCAGGTGGGGCCGAGGGGTCAGAACTCCGTGTTGGGACTCTCCTGGGAAGCCAGGCCCTGCTCAGTATCACATCTTGATAAATCAAAAACAGTAGCAGTGTTGAGCTTCTTTTCTCCCATTGGGGGCTTAAAGCTGTGCTTCAGAGTCTCCCGGCGGACGTCTGGGTTCTCTGCAGGGCTGGCCGGGGGGCTGTTCCCCCCAGACCTCACAGCCCTGACACGTGCTTTTCCCGGTAACTGGGCCTGGGTTGGCAGCTGCTGCGTCGGAGGTTGGAGCACCCCTGTCCCTTGCTCTGCTCTTCCCCAGCCTGAGGACTGGGCGCCGTCAACCGCGTCTGCATCAGCGAGTTACTGCTCAGCCCACAGCAGTGGTTTCTCCCAACGTTTTCATCGCGTCTTGATAGGAATGGGGAATTTTATCAAATTTGAGTTGATGATTAGCTTTTGAGTTACACAGTTTGCCTAAAATTTTGACAAATAGCTTAGCGATCCATGTTTGAACAGCAAATGAGTGAATACTCACTCTTCATCACTCTGCACTCCCAGGTGCAGATGGGTCGGCCTGCTCCTTGGGTCCCCAGTCTTCACTGCCTACCCACCATGCACCTTGATTGAGACAAATGAAAGCCATCTCGTAGCTCGTAAATCCTTGTTTATTGATAGCACAATACAGCTTTATATTATGTGATTTGTTCCTTTGTGTGGCCTTTTTAAGTTAATACCATGTACCAAAAGGGAAAAACACATGTTTATTTTCATATAATTTGATTCTACAAGGGCAAGAATACCTTGCTTTGAATAAGGGGATTATCTTTTTTTGGTGGAGATCAGCATATATAATAAACACCACACCATTATCAATGTTACATAAACTTAATAATAAAGGGATGGAGAAAAGTCACTTTCTGCCCTAATCTGCACTGACAATGCTTTTCACATCCTTGTCTGCTATTTCTCTATGTGTGTGGGTTCTGGGTGACTTTGTACTGATTTTCCTCATTAGGGGATTGTGTTTTCCTGCTCTTGCTGCCTCATAATTTGTTATTGGAAGGTGGACATTGCTGAGGTTCCTGTGTCAGATATCGGGCATTCTGTGTCCCCGTAAATACTGTTAAGCTCTGTCCTGGGATGCAGTAGATCCTTTCTGTCCTGGTATAAAGATTTGTTAGGAGGCCCTGGAGCAGCTCACACCTGGGGCTAGTTTCTCTCTTCTGTGTTTTCTGCCCAGGGCCCCAGGAATCATGAGGCTTTCCCATCTGGCTGGTGGAAACGGGCAGCGCCCTTGGCCCGTGAGTGCCAGACGCTCCGGGTGGCTCTTCCTCTGCCTGGGCAGGGCTGACATGTGCTCGCTGCCTAGTCAAGGGGCCTCTTGTGGATCCTTGCAGTCCTCTCGGTACCGCTGTGTCCTCCCAGGTATTCCGACCTGCGAACTCCAGCCACCTTACTGTCCTTGGACCCTCAGCACTGTCCTCCTAACTCAGGGAGCTTGGCAGGCTGCACGTGGACCTGACCACAGCCTGGAAACGCTAGGGCATTAGGCCGGGCAGTCGCAGGCTCTGCTGAGCACTTCCCCTTAGGAATCGCTGTCCTCCACTGCCTGGTGTTTGGTCTTCCAAACGATTGTTTCCTCTATTTTGTCCATTGTCGGTCATTTCATACAGGAGGGAAGGTCCAGCATCTGTTACTCCCTCTAGATTGTATACGAGTGTGATGATGATTTTCTTCTTTCCTAGCACCAGAAAGTTTGATGCAGGCTTTGGAAGACTTAGATTATCTGGCAGCACTGGACAATGATGGAAATCTCTCTGAATTTGGAATCATCATGTCAGAGTTCCCTCTTGATCCCCAGCTTTCAAAGTCTATCTTAGCATCCTGTGAATTTGACTGTGTAGATGAAATGCTAACAGTTGCTGCCATGGTGACAGGTACATCTTCAGGACTGTTCTTGTGTGTTGTGAATCCGCACCAGGGTCAGGTTTAAACGCGACCCATTTGAAATATTTCAAGAAGTACCTAGCAGAGACAGTGACCGATTTATTTAAAATTTCAGTGATAGTGAAGTATCTTAATAGATCAAGAAGATAGAAAATTATCTTAGTATAAAAAAATCTTAAATCAAAATCTAGTGACTTTCTTAGACATGTAAAAGAAAAACACGTCACGAGTGGTCCTCCCCCAAATAATGATGTGTGCATGTCTTTTGTCTCCTACTGCCTTCTCTCATCTCAGTTAGTATGTTTAATTTATTCTCTTACTGGCAGAGAGGGCCAAGGCAGTGCTGCATTAGAACCGTAGTTCTGATCCTGTTCCGGGTCTGGGCCTCGGAGCACCTCAGGTGCTCTGCTCCCACTGAATGCAAGCAGGGTGTTAACCATACTGAGCAGACCGGAGAAAAGGAAAACACTGTGGCAACTCACCCTAAATGTCTTTGATTTCTAAGTGAACGAGAGCAGCCTTTCCTTACAGACCAGGGGAGGTGTGGTCCCACGGGCAGCAGTGGGCCCTCCCTCTGCGGGTTGTGCTAGGATGAATGTCTCCCTTATTGCTGACCTTGTGACCTTTTGTGTCCTAAAGCTCCTAATTGCTTCTCGCATCTGCCACGTGGAGCTGAGGAGGCTGCCTTGACTTGTTGGAAGTCATTTTTACATCCTGAAGGAGACCACTTTACCCTCATCAACATTTACAAGGCCTACCAAGACATGGCGCTGAATTCCACCAGTGAGCGTAAGTGGATGCATGTGATTCTCAGAAATTACCTAATTCCATCCTTCCTACCCAAAATAAATTATTCATCAAACATCCTTCTTCTCGGGCCCCGTTGGTCACTTGAGTGGAATGGCGCTCGTGACCCTCCCTAAACGCACCGTAGGTTTGTGCTGAGTCGTCTAAACACACATCGCACTCCCACAGAGCTCTGGCTGCTGCAGGGCTATGCCTGCCTCCAGCACTCAGCCGGCAGCCTTCAGAGCAGGCTGCCTTGGGGCACGATATGGGGACGCACGGACCCACCACACAGCTCCTGCCCTCTGGGGCATGGGGAGGAGAAGGAACGGCCGTTGCTAAGGCCCCCCGGGTCAGAGCTGTGCTTTGCACTCTCCGTAGCATGGCACGTGCCCTGCCGCATGGAGAGTGAATTTGGAGCACTCAAAACGCAACACAAAACTAACCCCAGGTCCTCCTGTCTAAGCAACACTGTGCATATTGATCTACACAAGGGGCTGCAACGGATAAGGGAACAGAAATTCCTCCGTGTGAATCTCCTGTGCCAGGGTTAGAGACAGGAGGACATAGAGGGGCAGCGAGGGCAGAGCAGCACGGTGCAGGCTGGGGCCTCCAAAGGCGGCCAGTGGAGGCGTTCCCTTCCTACAAGGGTTGTTCTCACCTTGGTTTTCCACGAAGCATCTTTTACCTCCTTTGCTCTAATAGATGGTGTGAAATATTTGAAGTGAAATGAAAAATATGACAGTAACTTGAGTGGTACATTTTTTAAAGAACAAAGAGTTTTTCCAAGCTGAGAAAAAAAAGTCAGTGGAGCCAAAGTATGGGGAATTTGTGGTATCCGCAGAGAGCAAGCAGGCTGGTGCCTTGCTTGATCGAGTACGTGCTCTTGTTGCTCAAGTAGATTCAGCCTGAGTGGACAGGACAGGGTCAACCAGGGTCTTCTGCCCACTGTGCCAAGGCCTTGTGACTCCCCAGGTCAAGGCAGAACTCAGGTCCATTTAAGTAATTGCAGATGGCAAGAAAGAGTAACTTGTAGTGGAACCCGATGGCTGATTTTTAACATAAAGATTGCAGCTAGCATAGGTAGATGAGCTTAACTGTAACACAATTAATTCCCAGATCGGCACTAATCCTTTTCATATAGATGTTTTCGTGGATCAGAGGAATTTATACTGTAAGGTTTTCCCCTCCTAGTTTGATTAAATGTTGAGGCCATGTAGATCCTTGCTTTATACACACAAGACAAAATGTTGATCTTAAGATAATCTCATCTGCCTCTTAAGAGCAGATTATGGGTGATACACCTCCGGTCAGCACTGGGAACACGCTGTTTCCACGGGGTGGTGGCATCGTGGAATCCCCGCAGGTGGTGTCTCCCCTCCTGGCAGCGCCCGGGCAGCTGTCTTGCAGCCACCAGAGGTCCTTGTCCTTGCTTCCTCCCTACCACTCACTTCTGTGACCTCTGCTTTAGAGGAATAGAGACATACAGCGTCTTCCTGGCCTAGGCCCTTTCAGCTACGGCCCATCTTCTCTTTTGTTCTTTCCCTCCCAGACTGTGTTGAAAAGTGGTGTCACGATTACTTCCTCAACTGTTGTGCACTCAGGATGGCAGATGTTATCCGAGCTGAACTCTTAGAAATCATCAAGCGAATCGAGCTTCCCTGCACAGAACCTGCTTTTGGCTCAAAGGAAAATGCTCTGAACATAAAAAAAGCTCTTCTGTCCGGTTACTTCATGCAGGCAAGAATGGATGAGGCCACCGCTGGCGTGGACTTCACACAACTTCACATACTTAGGACAGTCTGTCAGGAATCTCTCACTTGGGATGATTCTTTTAATTGATGTTAACTTTAAAATAAAACTAAAAATCTTAATGCTATTAAATATTTTGTATTTAAAAATACTTCCCTTCAAGGGGATGAAGGGCTGAGCCACACTACTGTGTCTAGGACAGATCTTTTCATTACAGAGGGAAAGTTATTACACCAGCCTCTCTGGTTGAACATGAGATATAGTCCCTCATCTTCCTGTTCGCAAACTAGTTCACATTTAAATGGCCCAAGAGACACAGGTAATGNTCATACACTGTTTGTAATTGAGTCACTCATGTTCACGCTTTCATTTGACTCTCAAAATAATCTTATGACAGACAAGTGAAATTCAAACTCATAACACTTGACAATTAATAAAATGAATCGTCTTCAAATGCTGGTTTCTTCCCACTGTCCCAGCTGCTTCCTTGGCATAAAACTCTGGTGTGAAGACAGGTAAGTCTGCCTGACCAGGCCATCTTAAAACACCCAGACATGCTTCCCTGAAATGGTCTGTGGTGCTGAGGCATAGATTTTTAAAATTTAATTTTTACTATTTACTTCCTGAAAAACCAGGGCAGAGCTGAATCTGCAGTACTTTATAGTCTTCAGTGGGAATCTTAGAAGTAGTAAGTGATAGAGATCACCCAATCTAGGATGCTTTGTTCCTCCTCAGAGATTTATTTAACATTTTTGAGAAAGACTATTCTCTGGTGTTTGGTTGTCCGTCGTAACACCAGCTACCTTTATAGGAAGAAAGTGGCAGAGATCCTACAAACGGGATGACGTCCAGTACTATGGGCACAGGGCAGTCCACAAGCTGGAATCGGGGGTCAGGGATCTGCCCCAGCTCCTGCACCGACCCGCTGTGCGGTATCTGTAGTGCCTCTGGTCTCCCTCGGCCTCCATGTCTGTACCCAGGGCTCCCGCCTGCCTCACGGAGGTTAGTGAGCATATCCTAGACACTGCTCACTATTAGCGTGTTCATGGCTTTTCCCTCCTCCCCACGCTCCTCCCAGCAGTGGGGACGGGGAGCCGGTGACTAACCCCTTGAGAGCCTCCGTGCCAGGCGCTGTTAACGCTGCTACTGGCGGCACGGAGGAAAGCAGTGCCACACTTGAAGGACTTTGACACAAACGGGAGAGCAATAAAATTCTGATTTAATCCTGTTAAGAAACTTACTTACATCTAAAGAAATAGATGAAACAAGACGGTCTTACCTCATAGAAAAATTCTTCCTCTGCATTTGCAAACATTAATTCATCTTTCTCTTGGTTGCTGTATTTCTTTTTGGAATGTTTTCCTGCTTCCACAAATGTCTTGCTAATCAGCAGATAGAAGCAGCACTTTCCACACGGCTTGTTAGTTTTGTGTGCCTCTGCTAGTTCTTTCCTACAAGGCATACACATGGGGTTTGCCTGCCATCAGGGGAGAGCCATCAACAAAACAAAGCAGAAAACCAGCCCGGCCTCCTCAGTGGGGCACAGGCGAAGGGAACAGACATCAGACCTGAACACATCTAAAGCAGAGAGTGGTACTGTAGTCAGTTGACTGTGGCAGTGCTTTTTACAGATGATGAATCTGTACAAGTAACCGACAGATGAGCATCAAATTCACTCAACATTACTGCTCTGCCCGGGCAGAAGCTGAAGTATGGAAGAATCAGGATTTTTTAAAACAACATTTAACAGTAACACACAATGGCCCGTAGCCATAAGCAGTGCCATCACAGCACATGACTACAGCAGGCTCCAATCACTGCAGCCCAGGCCTCAGTCACCCTGACGTACCTCAGAAACGGCACGGCAAGGCGCACATACCCTACATTCTAAAACAGGCAATGGAATGGCAATGATGCCTTACTCTTCTATCTTTCTGAAAATCACACATGAACCTATGCATACGGCTAAACAAAGAGGTAAAGAAATGCCAAAAAACCCACTTCAGCTCTTTAATACAGGATCAGGAGAAGGCAGAGCCCTCCTGTGAATCCAAATAAACATGAGCCCAAGCGGATCAGAAACGATAAAACAACGACACTTTGCACCAGAAGCACAATACGAGTAGCGGCTGAGGGGCTGAGGGGGCAGAGAGGACAAGAGCAGAACTTTCTAAAAAGCAATGAATCTATAAAGGACAAATGGGAGACCTAAATGTTTGCAGGCTGGCGTTACATTCGCACAAACTCCTGAAGGGAAACCACAGTGCGAGCGCTGTGGCCTCCAGGAAGGAGAATTCTGTGAAGCCTGGGGGCCGGGTTGTGCCTTCATCCGCCTCTATTTCAAAGCACAGGCAATACCCATTCTTAGGTCTTCTTCATTTAAAATATTTTTGTAAACTCAAAACTCCTGTATTAAAAAATAAAACAACAAACCCTGAGAAGCCAGAGATATAGTATTGGGTCTATTTCATTAGTTATAAAACATCCAAGGGAATAGGACTTTTACTCAGTTTTTGTTACCATAGTAATTGTTCAGCATTTGTGTTACAGAAGTCTATCTGTAAAAAAGGCAAAAAAATTTAGTCTAATGGGAGCAAAGTCTATATAAGCTCTTAATACCGTGTAAATCTTTAAGGTTAATAAGACTATAACTCAGCTCTTTAAAAGGCTCATTATCAATGAGTCGTGAACCTCACAGGCCGCTGCTTCTGCTGTCACCACACTGCTACTTATCCAAGGGGAAAACTCCTTCCACACCAACACATTCCACTGAAATCACATTTCTGAATCCACTTGGAAAAAACGTGTTCAAAGGCATTTTCCCGTCTCTTACTGAAGCTGCTGGTGCATGGGCAGAGCAATCTGTGGAGGGACGTTAATGAATCTTTCACTTAGTAGAAAGCCCACAGGCTTGGTGGTGTCATTTAAAAGCTTGTCCAGCTGTTCAACCATGCTCTTTTCACAGTTCTTCTCACAGAAGCTTAAGATCAACTCTTTAATTTGTTCAGCACACTGGGTACCCTAGGAAGCAAAGAGAAGGCTTGCTCTTTATTACAAGCCATCACTTACAGGAGAAAACTTGAAAGTGAGAGCTGTCACTTTTTATCCTACAGGTAAGGCAGTTTCTTGTCATACAGCCTTTAAAATCTTCTGTCTTCCATGTTGACTGCTTATGCATTTCTCCATGGTAACTACAACCGGCTATTTACCCTCTCATGTTAAGGTTAAGAGAGGATTATATAAATACTCATCCACTGGAATAGCAATCCTAGGCCATCTCATAAAGACAGATAGACATAACTGGAAAAATCATCTAAAAACTAAAGATAAAACATGACCTGCGTTATATTCTGAGGATACAGTCACAGGTTTTTACTTTTGATTACAACTCATCAGTGAGTCAATAAAAAGGTGAATAAAAACACAAATAAATGTAAATGCCCTCAAATTCAAGAAGCAATGAAGCTTCAGAATCAAAGAACATAGCTGCAGAGACAACACAAACAGCACCCATGTCAGTACCAACACCAGGACATCAGTTCCTGAAAAAACAGAAGACTCTCCTACCACGGGGAGTCACTTACTGTAACTGGGTACAGACTGTTCAAAACAAACGAGGCAAAACACCTTCAGACTGAACCGGGGATTACCGTAAGACTACACAGGCACACACACCGCCTTACAGTTGGTATCACTGTCTGATATACAAGAGCTTTCATCAAACCTGAAATAAAAGTGGTTTTGGTCTAAGTAATAACCATTCAGATGCCACCCAGTGAAACCAACCTTTCTTTCAGTTAAATTTAAAAGACTTATGAAACCAAAAATCTTGCGTGTTCATGGCTTTTCCCTCCTCCCCACGCTCCTCCCAGCAGTGGGGACGGGGAGCCGGTGACTAACCCCTTGAGAGCCTCCGTGCCAGGCGCTGTTAACGCTGCTACTGGCGGCACGGAGGAAAGCAGTGCCACACTTGAAGGACTTTGACACAAACAGGAGAGCAATAAAATTCTGATTTAATCCTGTTAAGAAACTTACTTACATCTAAAGAAATAGATGAAACAAGACGGTCTTACCTCATAGAAAAATTCTTCCTCTGCATTTGCAAACATTAATTCATCTTTCTCTTGGTTGCTGTATTTCTTTTTGGAATGTTTTCCTGCTTCCACAAATGTCTTGCTAATCAGCAGATAGAAGCAGCACTTTCCACACGGCTTGTTAGTTTTGTGTGCCTCTGCTAGTTCTTTCCTACAAGGCATACACATGGGGTTTGCCTGCCATCAGGGGAGAGCCATCAACAAAACAAAGCAGAAAACCAGCCCGGCCTCCTCAGTGGGGCACAGGCGAAGGGAACAGACATCAGACCTGAACACATCTAACGCAGAGAGTGGTACTGTAGTCAGTTGACTGTGGCAGTGCTTTTTACAGATGATGAATCTGTACAAGCAACCGACAGATGAGCATCAAATTCACTCAACATCACTGCTCTGCCCGGGCAGAAGCTGAAGTATGGAAGAATCAGGATTTTTTAAAACAACATTTAACAGTAACACACAATGGCCCGTAGCCATAAGCAGTGCCATCACAGCACATGACTACAGCAGGCTCCAATCACTGCAGCCCAGGCCTCAGTCACCCTGACGTACCTCAGAAACGGCACGGCAAGGTGCACATACCCTACATTCTAAAACAGGCAATGGAATGGCAATGATGCCTTACTCTTCTATCTTTCTGAAAATCACACATGAACCTATGCATACGGCTAAACAAAGAGGTAAAGAAATGCCAAAAAACCCACTTCAGCTCTTTAATACAGGATCAGGAGAAGGCAGAGCCCTCCTGTGAATCCAAATAAACATGAGCCCAAGCGGATCAGAAACGATAAAACAACGACACTTTGCACCAGAAGCACAATACGAGTAGCGGCTGAGGAGCTGAGGGGGCAGAGAGGACAAGAGCAGAACTTTCTAAAAAGCAATGAATCTATAAAGGACAAATGAGAGACCTAAATGTTTGCAGGCTGGCGTTACATTCGCACAAACTCCTGAAGGGAAACCACAGTGCGAGCGCTGTGGCCTCCAGGAAAGAGAATTCTGTGAAGCCTGGGGGCCGGGTTGTGCCTTCATCCGCCTCTATTTCAAAGCACAGGCAATACCCATTCTTAGGTCTTCTTCATTTAAAATATTTTTGTAAACTCAAAACTCCTGTATTAAAAAATAAAACAACAAACCCTGAGAAGCCAGAGATATAGTATTGGGTCTATTTCATTAGTTATAAAACATCCAAGGGAATAGGACTTTTACTCAGTTTTTGTTACCATAGTAATTGTTCAGCATTTGTGTTACAGAAGTCTATCTGTAAAAAAGGCAAAAAAATTTAGTCTAATGGGAGCAAAGTCTATATAAGCTCTTAATACCGTGTAAATCTTTAAGGTTAATAAGACTATAACTCAGCTCTTTAAAAGGCTCATCATCAATGAGTCGTGAACCTCACAGGCCGCTGCTTCTGCTGTCACCACACTGCTACTTATCCAAGGGGAAAACTCCTTCCACACCAACACATTCCACTGAAATCACATTTCTGAATCCACTTGGAAAAAACGTGTTCAAAGGCATTTTCCCGTCTCTTACTGAAGCTGCTGGTGCATGGGCAGAGCAATCTGTGGAGGGACGTTAATGAATCTTTCACTTAGTAGAAAGCCCACAGGCTTGGTGGTGTCATTTAAAAGCTTGTCCAGCTGTTCAACCATGCTCTTTTCACAGTTCTTCTCACAGAAGCTTAAGATCAACTCTTTAATTTGTTCAGCACACTGGGTACCCTAGGAAGCAAAGAGAAGGCTTGCTCTTTATTACAAGCCATCACTTACAGGAGAAAACTTGAAAGTGAGAGCTGTCACTTTTTATCCTACAGGTAAGGCAGTTTCTTGTCATACAGCCTTTAAAATCTTCTGTCTTCCATGTTGACTGCTTATGCATTTCTCCATGGTAACTACAACCGGCTATTTACCCTCTCATGTTAAGGTTAAGAGAGGATTATACAAATACTCATCCACTGGAATAGCAATCCTAGGCCATCTCATAAAGACAGATGGACATAACTGGAAAAATCATCTAAAAACTAAAGATAAAACATGACCTGCGTTATATTTTGAGGATACAGTCACAGGTTTTTACTTTTGATTACAACTCATCAGTGAGTCAATAAAAAGGTGAATAAAAACACAAATAAATGTAAATGCCCTCAAATTCAAGAAGCAATGAAGCTTCAGAATCAAAGAACATAGCTGCAGAGACAACACAAACAGCACCCATGTCAGTACCAACACCAGGACATCAGTTCCTGAAAAAACAGAAGACTCTCCTACCACGGGGAGTCACTTACTGTAACTGGGTACAGACTGTTCAAAACAAACGAGGCAAAACACCTTCAGACTGAACCGGGGATTACCGTAAGACTACACAGGCACACACACCGCCTTACAGTTGGTATCACTGTCTGATATACAAGAGCTTTCATCAAACCTGAAATAAAAGTGGTTTTGGTCTAAGTAATAACCATTCAGATGCCACCCAGTGAAACCAACCTTTCTTTCAGTTAAATTTAAAAGACTTATGAAACCAAAAATCTCATCTTCGTCCACATCGTCATCGCTGTCTTCTGAAACATCCGTTTGCTATTTCAAAAAGAAAGAAATATTTCAATTTTATATTTGGTTGGGAAGAAGTGTAATACCAAGTCTTGGAACTGAGGTAAATTTATCTTCTCACTTTTTTTAAGTTCAGCTTTGTTTCATAATCGCAGCCTCAGGGAGGCGTCAGGCACCAGACACAGGCACCGTGTGTCTGCTCCCCACCCACCACCGCGTGTCTGTTCCTCTGTTTACACTGTGGACAATCTCATCCTGCTCTCAATTTCTTTATACTAGATTCTCAAGACCTTTCTCTACTAGAGTCTCAACATATACTGATTTTCTCAGTATATTAAAAATCCAGAATAAATAAAACCTCGTGAAATAAATCATTTTAGTCTGTTTTCTAAAAGATTTGGCTGGAGCCAGCCCTTGCTTGTTTCTGTGGGTCCTCAACACTGTCTCACCTAAAAAATTCACATGCTTCCAGAGCATGGGCCTGTCCCCGAGCACTGGTGAAGGGAACAATGCTTGAGTGCCACCTATCCCTACCACATGGGCAGGAGAGAAGAAAAGACGGCAAGAAAGTAAGTGACAAATTAGGCAATCACAAAATTAAAAACAAAATGCTTAACTCCAACTTGAACATCCTGCCTCCACTCAGAGCCCTGGCCCTGGGGCCTCAATCATGGTTCACATTCTCTTTCCCGTGGTACCCCTTTGCTTGTCCAGTCGTGAACCCTGCTCACTGCACCCCCAGCACCTAGCACGGAGCCTGGCACAGATGAAGTCCTCAGAGAATGTGTGCTGAATGAATGATGACAGGAGGCTGCTGCTTTCCCACCAACGGACAGCATCATCCACAACTGCTCCTTGTCTCCCTGAACTTGTTCTGTGGGAAGGGATTTACAAGCTCTGCCACACCTTTCAGCACAACTGGTTCAGTCAGGTGCGGTCAGTGGTGCCAAAGCGCCCCCAGCGGTGGTGTGCCTCAGGGCAGAGAGCAGAGCGGAAGTTAAACCAGACCAGGGACTAAACAGGGCCCTCGAGGAAGTGGCTCTTGGATTTAAGCTGGCACTGTCACTGAGTGGGGAGCTCCGGAAAAGGGGAATCACAAGATTTCAAACAAAACATTTCTGCTGAACCTGGTTGTAGAAGGCCACCAGGTTCTTCCTGTAGGAACAAGGAAGGGTAGGGTGGTTCAGGTAAGGCCTAGGTTAACTAAAACTACCTGTCAAGATGAGAGAAGTCTGAAGCTCAACAAAACAAGAGGGTACAAAAGTAGAGAATAAGAAGGTAATTCTCGAAGACACTAAGAGTTCCAGTGAGGGGACCAGGCGCAGGTCCACTCATGAAGGAAGAGGGCAAACAGGTGCAGAGAAAGTATTATGCAAGCCAGCCTTGGTCCTCCAAGGTCAACAGCAGATAGTTTCCCTGCACATCAAGTCCCCACCTGCTGTGGACAAACGGTCATGGGAAGCAGAAAGAACCGTCAGTGCCAAGCCCTAAGAAATCCCCACAGCGGCCACTTGGCTCACAGCAATCAGCATCCCCTGGAGCACGCTCAGCGTTCCTCTCCTTGACGGGTTGTTGACCACCTAGGCAACACCTCACCGGGTCTGCCTCTCTGGGGGCTGGGGTCACAATCACATCTCAGTTCCGTCCACATCCACCAGCCTCCCCAGCAAGAGCCCCTTCCACCTGACCCACCTTGTTCCCTCCCAGGCCACCCTTACCTTTCCAAGCCACTCAGTTCAACAGTTCCTCTGGCACCTAAGTACTGAGCAACTCATCACACACCACCTTGGCCCTGAAGCTCTACCTCTAAGCAATCACATGCCTACAGTGCACAGCCGTCCCACACCCCTTCCCTCTGCGACCCTGGGGAAGGAAGGGTCCAAAGCCCCAGTCGCAAAGGCTCCAGCCAAAGCTCAGGGCAGTCCCTCTCCTAGGAGCATGAAGTCTCTGTCCCTGGAACACCTCAAGTGTCTCTGGAAGCCAAGGAAGCGTAACTGTCACCATAGTTACTTGTGTAATCATCCAATGAAAGGCTGAATCCCCCTGCACACAGAAAGCTTTCTCAAGGATAAAAACGACTCCCTGGCATCCACCAGGTGTCAGGAGATCACATCTGATGAGAGTAGGCTGGCCTGCTTTGACCCACTGCTCTACCAAGAAGCTACCAGAGGTGTTATTCTCATTTTCTCTATATTTAGTGCCACAAGGTTACTAGTGTTGTCAGAAGGTCTGAAACATGTGCACCGTACTTACTAACCAAGATGATGGTGACCCCATCAGTTCCAGGAATTCAGCGGAGTATCGGTGGTGATAGGAGGAACAGAGGTGGCAACTATGGATACAAACTTTCTCAAGAATTTTGGCTTTGATAACAAAGTGAGATGGCTGAAGGCGAGGCAGAGAGAAACAGACTGAAGTGGAGTTGTTTGTTTTGATTTTTATAAGCTAGACAGTGAGCGCTCGGACAGTGAGCACCCATAATAGCTACACACAGAGCCCTTGCCATGCGCCAGACACTGTTCTAAGCACTTTACATAGCAGCTCATTTGTTTACTTACCACCCTACGACGTAGGTACCAGTATCATCATTTTCAGAGATGGAAATGGAAACAGATTAAGATCACTGCGGCAAACTGTATTTCCCACAGACGATCCACATTCCCTTCAGATGAGCGACCCACCCAGACAATCCTCCCTCCAAGAGGAAGGGTCTACGCACCTTCCCCTTGAACCTGTATAGACCACTGTTGTCTGCCGATCAAGTGAATGGTAGAAATAACACTATCATAAAATGTGAAGTACTTCCACCTGGTACTTTTGGGTTGCTTGCTCTTGGTACCCAACCAGTGTTGGGGTCACTGGCACCCCACTGAGTCACAGCTAGGCTCCCAGCCAAGAGCCAGCACTAACTTGCCAGACCCAGTACTGGCCATTTTCAAAGGGAATCCTCCAGCCCCGTTGGCCTTCTGCAGGGAAAGCAACATGCAGCAGATAAGAGTTGTCCTCACCAAGCTCTGTCCAAACTGCTGATTCTCAAACCAAAGGGATGACTATTGCTATTCGAAGACGCGAAGCTGTAGAGCGGTTTGCTAAGCAGCAGCAGATCACTGAAAGAGCCACAGGACGGTAAGCAGCAGCGGCAGGATTCACTCAGGCCTGCTTCCTCCCCCGCCGAATGCTCCGTTCCCTCGCTTTGCCAGATACCACGCCCTCTCAGGTCGCTCCTCCGAGACTCCTGAGCAGGACCTGCCACGTACCTTCCTCATCCACATAATGGTGCAGCACCACAGTGTCTGTCCCTGCCCTCCCTGGTCAGTCACAACCACTTCTAGGACTTGAATTACCACTTGCCTGCTGAAAATGCCCCGGTCACCAGCTGCTGCTTAATCTCTCTCCTGCATGTATCACAGGCAAATTGAACCCAGATGTACAAATCCAAATTCATGTCCCCTCCTAACCTCATCTTCCTCCATGTTTGCTCTGATGGTTCCTGGAGCCAGATACATGGGAGGCTTCCTTGCCAACTTTCCCCTCCCTCGCAGACCCACCACTCACTAAAAGCCCCACCCTATTTCATCTCTCAAATACCCTCTGAATCAGCCCATTTCTACCCCCATCCATTGCCACTACATGTATTATTGCACCTAGTAACACTGCATTAGTGGACTGGCCTTCTAACCAGTCTCCATTCCTCCAGTAATACTTCTTTCCAATTTGAGCTCCTGGTCTGCGTGCTATAGATCAGGACGGACTTAACAGGTAATATACAGACTTAATTTAATCAGAGTAAATACAACTGTCCTGCTTACCTTAATCACACTCCCAATATGGTTCTGTTCAATTAAGAGGTCTGTTAGTTCTGCGGTGTTCACAGGAGCCTTTAGGAAAAGCTAAGAGGAGAAAAAAACATATTTTAAATTAAAATCAAAGCATAACTTGCAATGAAACTTCTAATTTCCATATTCAAATAATGAAATTTCAGTGAGGTGACAGAATTAGAATTCTTGGGAAAAGCAATCCCAAGAAGAAAGGAAAAGCCCAGAAGAATCAAGGAAGCTAAAGGTACTGGAATTGGAGAACAGGTAGTCAGTGTTAATTTAGGAGGTATGTGGGGGCAGAAGAGGAAAAGAGGGGAAAGGGAAGGGAGGAGAATGGACATAAGGCCAAAGAATCTGGTGACTAGGACACTGGAGACTATGGGGGCAGAGAACCAAAGCCATCTGACACTGGGTGAAGGAATACACAGCAGCAAGCGAGGTCGTGAAGCACCCAACAGCACAGTCAGCGATACGGCTGTTATGTAAGAATTCTTCCACCCACAGAGTTCAGATGCAAATTAGAGAAAAACAGAATAGTAGCTCAAGTAATCAACAGACGAAAGGGAGGGTATTTTAGGACACAGACTGCTTGAACACATTAATCAGAGGAAGGGGTCTGGGACCAGAGGCACGAATAGGGGAGTTCGCCCTGGCAAAGAGAAACAATTCTTTCTTCCAGGCAAGGTAGAGAGAGGGTAGGAATGGGAATTCTAAAATAAAGGATAAAATTTGACACCACTTGTGTTGAATGGCCTGGATTTTCTGGCAAGAGAAAGTTTTTTATCAAAGAGTAAAAGACAATACCTGCTGTAGTAATTTCCTAATTCCGTCGTAATCCTTATTGGAGATGGAATAAGCTTCGAACTCAATATTCACTTCCTGTAAATAAGACACAAAAAAGGTCTTCATACATAACTTTCCAGGATAACTCAGGCATTATTTCCCACTTGGCAGATTTCCCTTTTACTTTACCGCCATTCTTTTTGGCTCTATATCTATAGAACACACCAGAAAAAGGATGAAAAAACATTACCTAAAGAACTGTCTAGGTTTCAAAATGGGCAAACATAGCCAAGACTGCTATCTGCACAGATTATAAAGCACCTTCATGCCATTTCCTCATTTGACACAAAAGCCTGGGAAGAACATAACACTCAAGAGTGACTCATTCCAATGCTGAGAAAGTCTGCTCTGGATATAACAGTCATATTGGTCCTAAAGAAGAAATTACGTACTGACTGCAGTAAGGTCGGGCAAAGAACAAAATTACTTCAGAAATCCCCGGCATTGCCTAAAGAATCATTCAGCCCATCGATTTGAGGCTACACTTCATTCACTTGGCAGATATTTGGCTGAGTACCACCACATATCAAGCACTATGCCAGGTACTTGAGAGGAAAAGGTGAGCTGAGCAGACATGAATAAGCCTGCAGTTTAAAAGTGAATACAGACCAGACTGTAGCTCAGGATGGCAGCATGAGTAGGGCAGCAGAAATCTCCTACCAAAACCATATATATTTTGAAAATACAGCAAATACAACTATTGCTAAAAGAGATACAGTAGATACAGTACAACAGCCAGGTTACACCTACATCTGTGAGAACCCAGCAGCTCACAAAAAGGGTAACATACAAAGCAGTGACTCAGTGGGACCTGAGCACTCCCCCCCACCCCAGCTCACCAGCGGGAGGAGAAGAATTAGCGTGGGGCACTACGCTAATTAGTGGAAGCACAGGACTGCTAAATAACCAGCCCTAGTAATCTGCACCAGGAGCACAGACCACACTGCATGGTGTACCGGATATTAAAGAAACAGTAAAGTAAAACCCGAGACTGAGACTGCAAACAGGTCCCCACAGCCAGCTCGCCTGGGACAAACGAAAAGCAAGTGCTTTAAAAGTCTTAAAGGGACAAGGGTTTAACAGATGGACAAAACCATCCTGGCATACTCAGCTAAGCAGGCTGGGAATCTTAAGGAACTTCAGGCGCCCTAACCCCTTGGGTGGCAACGCAGCTCCAAAGTCCTTCATGGTGATAAGCAGCCTGCCGTTCATTCCTCCCCACTAGCACTGCAAGCAAACCAGCTGACCCGCCATTGCTGCGGACCAGCCGGGGAGCAACCCTGCCCACAGCAACCTCACATAGTCTTCTCCCAGCACACAGCTAACCCAGCCAGACCCACAGGCAACCCCCTGGGTGCAGCTGCCCAGCACAGGCAGAGGAAGCTGGCACAAAGTCTGCAAGGCATGAAGGGGCGCCATTCTCACAGAACACACACCACCTGCCTGCGACACCTGGCAGTGCCCTAGGCTAAACCCAAGGACCACCCCACCCATGGCAGCTCAGGGGATTAACCCAGGGACTGCAACCTGTGTGCGGTTAACCAGCACAGGCAGCGCAGAAGGGCAAGGCCACCAGCAAGCAGGAAGGAATGTTCTCCCAGCTGACACACACGCCACTCACCGGCGATCACTTCTATAGCCATGAAAAGGCAGAAGAACCTGGTCAAGTCCAAAATCACTCAAATGCCAAAGAGAGGGCCTGACGAGACAGATATAACCAATCTTCCTGAAAAAGAATTCAAAATAAAAGTCATAACCATGCTGATGGAGCTGCAGAGAAATATGCAAGAGCTAAGGGATGAAGTCCAGAGGGAGATAACAGAAATGAAACCACCAATGGAAGGACTTAAGAGCAGACTGGATGAGGTGTAAGAGGCCGTTAATGGAATAGAAATCAGAGAACAGGAATACAGAGAAGCTGAGGCAGAGAGAGAGATAAAAGATCTCTAAGAATAAATGAGTATTAAGAGAACTGTGTGACCAATCCAAATGGAACAATATTCACATTATAGGGGTACCAGAAAAAGAAGAGAGAGAAAAAGGGGTAGAAAGTGTCTTTGAAGAAAAAACTTCCCCAAGCTGGAGGAGGAAATAGTCTCTCAGACCATGGAAGCCCACAGATCTCCCAACACAAGGGACTCAAGGAGGACAACACCAAGACATATAATAATTAAAACTGCAAAGATCAAAGACAAGGACAGGGTGTTAAAAGCAACCAGAGAGAGAAAAAACATCACCTACATAGGAAAACCCATCAGGCTATCATCAGACTTCTCAAGAGAAACCTTACAGGCCAGAAGAGAATGGCATGATATATTTAATGCAATGAAATCGAAGGGCCTTGAACCAGGAATACTGTACCCAGCAAGATTATCCTTTAAATTTGAAGGAGGGATTAAACAATTCACAGATAAGCAAAAGTTGAGGGAATTTACCTCCCACAAACCAATCTACAGGGTATTTTAAAAGGGACTGCTCTAGATGGAAGTACTCCTAAGGCTAAATAGATGTCACCAGAGAAAATAAAATCACAGCAAAGAAAGCAGACCAACCAAATACTAACTAAAGGCAAAAAATAAGATCAGCTATCCACAAAAGCAGTCAATGGAAACACAAAAGAGTACAGAATAAAAGACCTAACATATAAAGAGTAGAGGAGGAAGGAAAAGAAGGGAGAGAAATCAAGAATCATCATGTTTAGAATAGTGTAATAAGTGAGTTAAGTTAGATGGTTAGATAGTAAAGAAGCTACCCTTGAACCTTTGGTAATAACCATGAATCCAAAGCCTGCAATGGCAATACGTATCTATCGATAATCACCCTAAATGTAAATGGACTGAATGCACCAATCAAAAGATACAGAGTAATAGAATGGATAAAAAAGCAAGACCCATCTATATGCTGCTTACAAGAGACTCACCTCAAACTGAAAGATATACAGACTAAAAGTGAAGGGATGGAAAAAAATATTTCATGCAAACAATAGGGAGAAAAAAGCAGGTGTTGCAGTACTTGGATCAGACAAAACAGACTTCAAAACAAAGAAAGTAACGAGATAAAGAAAGACATTACATAATGACAAAGGGGTCAGTCCAACAAGAGGATATAAACATTATAAATATATATGCACCCAATACAGGAGCACCAACATATGTGAAAGAAATACTAACAAAAGTAAAGGAGGAAATAGAAGGCAATGCATTCATTCTAGGAGACTTCAACATACCACTCACTCCAAAGGACAGATCCACCAGACAGAAAATAAGTAAGGACACGGAGGCACTGAACAACACTCTAGAATAGATGGACCTAACAGACATCTACAGAACTCTACAACCAAAAGCAGCAGGATACACATTCTTCTCAAGTGCACACAGAACATTTTCCAGAATAGACCACATACTAGGCCATAAAGAGCCTCAGTAAATTAAAAAAGACTGAGATCTTTTTGATTTCACATCACAAAGATTTCAGATCATCTTCTCAGATCACAAAGGTATAAAACTAGAAATAAATTGTACAAAGAAAACAGAAAGGCTCACAAACACATGGAGGCTTAACACCATGCTCCTAAATAATCAATGGATAATGACCAAATTAAAACAGAGATCAAACAATATAAGGAGACAAATGACAAGAACAACACAAAGCCCCAACTTTTGTGGGACGCAGCAAAAGCAGTTCTAAGAAGAAAGTATATAGCAATTCAGGCATATTTAAGAAGAAAAATCCCAAATGAATAGTCTAAATTGACAATTATTGAAACTGGAAAAAGAACAAATGAGGCCCAAAGTCAGCAGGAGGGTAAATAAAATTGAGAATAAAATAGAAAAATTTAATGAAAACAAGAGCTGGTCCTTTGAGAAAATAAACAAAATAGATAAACCCCTAGAGAATCTACACACATAAATAGGATCAGAAATGAGAAAGGAAAAAATCACTATGAACACCACTGAAATACAAAGAATTATTACAGAATACTATGAAAATCTATAAGCTAACAAACTGGATAACTTAGAAGAAATGGACAACTTTCTAGAAAAATACAACCTTCCAAGACTGACCAAGGAAGAAGCAGAAAATCTAAACAGACCAATTACCAGCAACGAAATTGAATTGGTAATCAAACAACCACATAAGAACAAAACTTCTGGGACAAATGGACTCACCACTGAATTTTATCAGACATTTAGAGAAGACATAATACCCATTCTCCTTAACGTTTTCCAAAAAAACAGAAGAGAAGGGAATACTCCCAAACTCACTCTATGAAGCCAGCATCACTCTAATGCCAAAACCAGGCAAAGACACCACAAAAAAGAAAATTGAATTACAGACCAATATCGCTGATGAACATAGATGCAAAAATATTCAACAAAATATTAGCAAACTGAATTCAAAAATACATCAAGAGAATCACACACCATGATCAAGTGGGATTCATCTCAGGGATGCAAGGATGGTACAACATTCAAAAATCCATCAACATAATCCACCACCACAACAAAAAGGACATAAACCACATGATCATCTCCATAGATGCTGAAAAAGCATTCAACAAAATTCAACATCAATTCATGATAAAAACTCTCAACAAAATGGGTATAGAGGGCAAGTACTTCAACATAATAAACGCCATATATGACAAACCCACCACCAACACTATACTTAACAGTGATAGGCTGAAAGCTTTTCCCCTAAGATAAGGAACAAGACAAGGATGCCCACTCTCCTCACTTTTATTCAACATAGTACTGGAGGTCCTAGCCACAGCAATCAGACAACACAAAAAAATAAAAGGCATCCAGATTGGTAAGGAAGAAGTCAAACTGTCCCTGTTTGCAGATGACATGATACTATACGTAACAAACCCTAAAGAATCCACTCCAAAACTACTAGAATATCTGAATTCAGCAAGTTGCAGGATACAAA